TAACCACATCTCCTCAAGTTGTCAACAGTCGCCATTGAGGTTGTAAATGAACCTCTACAATAAAAATCTGCTGTAATCTTATTGGGTTCACTTAAAGCTATTAATGACTTAAAAATGCTTCCCCTTACATTGTTAAGGTCGTTATATGAGCTGATAATACAATTTTTTTAGAAGCTATAGTATCTCACAGAATGAGTTGTCAGAGGCACTGCCGAAGCTATTAATCACTTCTCCTCAGGTTATCAAAAGCCGCTGTTGAGGTTGTAAATGGATCTAACAGAGAGGACTGTGATATATACCTATCATATCATCATGGTTAACATTTGTTTATCCAGTTTTATTAAGTCTTTATTTCTGGACATGATCTGGGTTTGGAATGAAGAATTTTGTGGTTATCAAAACACATGAATGCCATTAAAAAAAAAACTTCATAACCAATAAACAATGTCAATACACATTAACATCACTTCACATTCAACTATCATTATATTGTCAAGTAAAAAAAAAAAACCTTTGAACTTTACATTCAGTTGTCATTATGCTGTCAAATAAAAAAAAACTAAATACAATATATGCTGGTCATTTATTTCTTCCTCTTGCTTTGGAGGTTTGCTCATAGCAAAGACAACACTTGATCACCATGCAAGTTGTTCTGATGAGTTACAAGCCACTACAAGCATCCAACCTTCACGTTATGGATTTCTTGAGCAGAGTACTTAGGCATTGTGTAGCCATCATCACCATATTCCATGCTGTCCCACGTTTGTAACCAACTCAAAACATAAAACCCACAACAGTCCTTGAAAAAAAATACTAGTACTTTAGTCAATAAACATTATCTCCTAAAAACTCAAACACAATTAGTTTTTGTGCATAACAACAACAACTCATATGTCAGATTGCACATGTACTTTAATCCATGTGACTTCCTTATCAATTTTGTTCTTTTCATCAAATAGTGCTAGCTTGACTCTATGAAGAACTTGGTAAAAACAATCTCTCTGTAAAAAAAAAAAAAACAAGTTTGACAATAGTGAATAACAAGTAATCAGTAGGTATTAACAACCTTGACAATATCAAATGACAGGTAATCAGCAGGCATTAACAACCTTGATAGTAACGAATGACAAGTAATCAATAGGCATCAACTTTGACAGTAGTGAATAATAAGTAATCAGCAGGCATCAACCTTGACAGTAGTAAATGATAAATAGTCAGCAGGCATTAATAACCTTGACAGTAGTGAATGGCAAGTAAGCAGTAGACATTAACAACCTTGACAGTAGTGAATAGTAAGTAATCAGCAGGCATTGACAATCTTGACAGTAGTGAATGACAAGTAATCAACAAGCATTGACAACCTTAACAGTAGTAAATGATAAGTAATCAATAAGCATTAATTAACAATTTATCAAAACCAATTCTTTTCAGCCTCTCCATCATATCATATTACAACTTGAACACTAAAATCATGTGTTAAGAAATCACTGAACACTGCAAGTAGGAGAAATTGTCACTTTATATCAGTAAATTAATTTAGATTGCCAATGACAACCTTCACTGCGTCTGATAACAAGTCAATGACAACCTATTTACAAGTACAGCAAAATAGAGATATGATATTATATCATATTATAACTAGATGTCATTTACCACTTTATATATATGTACAATGTAACTACACCAAATTTACACTTTATCTACAAGGTCTACAAATGTACGCTCATCAAAAGTTACTGTGAATTTTATAACCATTCAATTACTTTCTTTCCCCACCATTGTTCTAAATTCTTCATATGATGTGCCTTCCTTTGTCATTTTTGTTTTCACACCACCTCTAACATATTGTATTATACTTTCTACACCATTAATAAATTGTCCCCCTATATAGAAGTAACAGAACAAATGCTTCCCACTTGAAGTTGTCATCTTTCATATCAACCTGTGACAATCACTTGTTAACAACAAGTCATACAGTTACATTAACAACCTTCGATATACCCATTAACAAGACATTTAACCATCGCATTACAGTGTCATTTTCATTCATCTTTATCAGAAGCACAGCATCAATCACGAAAAAACAGAGCATCAATCACCAAAAAAAAAAGTAGTCTGAGAGAGCCTTTCTTGAAACGTTGCTATTCTCTTTATGCTATTGTTCCTTGCTTCATCCAAGAGACCATATCCACGCACAAGATAAAAGCCATGAGGATTGGGGTTTAGATTTGGCACTGACGACACTGAGAGTGATCTGGGACAATTGCGAGGACGAAGATGGTTCCGATAGGCAAAGAGAACGGCTAAGGGTTTGAGGCGGGGAAAATACAGACTCAGATTAATGGGGGTACGTGGGTAATATCACATTTAAAATTTATTACCCGTAGGTCCTTGGAGACTTAGGAAGAATTTCTGGATTTTAAGAGATTTTTTCAGAATAAATTGTCTTCTGTGAGACCTGTGTGTAATTTTCTCTTCTTCTTTTTTCCCCACCAACATTAAAAAATTAAAAAAGTCTATAATAATATCAAAGCTTACGCATAAATCCCATATGATGATGCCAACCTTCATAATATTCGGTGACTCACCCAACGGATTTCATAAGCCCCCGACATCAGCGCCACTTTCAGTGATCTCCCCAAATCACTGACCGCCTCCGACTCTGAATTCCTTGCTCCCCTTTCATAAATTCAATTATTTATTACATTTTCTCTGTACTCTACGTGTGATTTACTATATTTTATTTATACGTAATTATCTTATTGGCCAAATTTCTTGTATGTGATCAATTTTTTTTTACTTCTATCCACTTTGCTAATTTTTTATCTCTTTTTGAATATGCTTTATGCATCATTTTTTATCTTATTGTTATGTTTCTTGTTTATATTTGTTTTAAGAAAAAATTGTTCACAAAAACTAAATTTAAAAACTATTTATTCTTTTAAAAAAATTTTAAATATTTAACACGCAACAACAAAACTACGAGGTCTATCAAGCATCCAACATTTGATTAATAATTTTCCTTTATCTCTTGGTACAATTTTCTCTTTATTTTATCATTATGCTATGTGTATATTTACAGCAGACGCTTCAGCAAAATAAAAATAAAGAGTAAAATATTATGACTGCTCATCTATTTTTTCTAAATTATGAAATTTTTCCAATATTTTGAAAGTGTATATAAATCTTTATTCATGTTATACAAATATTTATTGTATATTTGAGATTTTATTTTCATCCATCTATTTGTTAGGTGACTATTAAGTTTGACTTTTAAATTTTTGTTTTAACCAAAATACCCCTCCTTAACATAAAAAATATTTAAACATTTATATTTGTCAAAAAAATAATTTTTGATACAACAAAAATAATGTCAATACATGTATTTTCAAATTTTTAATATGCATTAAAATTTATTAATTCTAATTATATTATAAAATTTTATAATTTTAATTTTTCACCTTATAATGAAACTTATTTATTTAAGTCTCTTTTAAATGGCTGGAAAATATATTAAATAAATATTTTTATCATATAATATAAATTGTCCAAGTTTAAGAGATTATAGAAATTATTAAATTTAAAATTTAAAATTTTTTAAAAAAATTTTGTCAAAAACATTTATAAGGTATTTACTTTATTATATATTTATTTAAATAATTAATCAAATTTCTATTCAAGATTTTTATGTCTACATTTTTAATTAATCAGATTAATTAATTTTCCATCAATATGATAAAAGTACTAAACAAATAAATATTTATAAAATAAAAAATAAATTAAGAAAAAAATTTTAAATTCTTTAAAACCTTTTAGTCAAAATTTAGGAATTTAGTATTATGAAGAAAAAATTAGTAAATAAAAACTATTTTAATACAAATTCTAATTAAAAAATATATTTTTAGAATATTTTTAACGAAGTTAACTGTTTAGATTTAAGTGTATGATTTTAAAATAGAAAGAAAACTAGTATAATTAGGATAAAATATAAAAGAGATCAAAGTATTTTACTCAAAAATAAAATAGATTTTACGGGTGGTTTCGTCACTCCGGCTGAAAATCTGTACCCCGGCCCACTGGGCCCACTAATTAATTCGTTCCAGTGTGTTTTAGATACATTTTTTTCCACGGAAAAAAATGTATATTCCGGTATGTTGGTTTTGAAAGTTTCAAAAATAATTCTTTTGGAATTGGAAAGAAAAAATTTGAGAAAGGACTATGTATGCCCTTGACCTCTTCTTGTGCATTCCACTGAGCCTCGCACTCAAACTTCTTCCCATTTCCATAAATTCCCTCCACAAAAGCTAAACCCCTCCGATTTCATCGTCCATCTCATTCACCCATCCATTTCCGCTCCTTGTTGTCTTCGCTGTAACTTCTTCTCTCTTCCTCGTTCTTTTCTTGATCTTCTTCTTCTTCCTCGTCCTCTCCTCTTTTCATTTCATTCTGATTCTGTTTCCATTTCATGTGACTAGCTGGCAATTTCTCTATCTTATTCCGGAAATGGGTTCCGAGGTTGAAAGCAATCCGAATCCTCCGGAGTTGGACAAATTAGCCGAGCAATCACGCTCACCTCTAACATCAACAGAAATAGATGAATCATCGGCGACCAAGAATGACGACGTCCATCCTCGCCTTGACGTTGTTTCCGCCGATACTCACGCCAACAGATCAGCCAATACTCACTCTGAAACCACTATCACTGACGAAACAGAACGAATTGCCCAATCTCATTCCGAGAATTCTCTAGCATCGACGACCGAAGACAGCGATGTTCGGCCAGATCGTGACGATGTTATCGCCGATGATAAAATTGATCTCACAAAAGAACGAGCGGAGGGTTTGAATTCTCCACCGTCAACGACTCAAAGAGATAACGTTCCTCCTGAGCGTGATCATGTTTCCGCTGATGGTGAAATTAATCTGCAAGACGAACAAACGGAGAATTTGAATTCGGCGACCAAAACAACGACGTTTCTGGCACCAATCATAATACTAACGGCCATTTGCGATTTGTGCTGCCTCATTCCAATCTTCCGAAGCCACAAATGCCTCCAGGGATAGAAAATCTTCCTTCAGCAAAAAATGACGACACTACGAGTTTCTCCACCGTCGACATGCCGGCCATCGGAAAGTTCATTCGACAGCGTACGGTGGCGCTTGCGAGAGGGATTTCGTCTTTAATGGACGACAACGATGAGGGATCGAAGAAAAATAATAATCGGAGTGTCACGGAATTCAATCTTTCTGGTCTCAGGGTCGTGGTGAAGGAAAAAACTAGCGACGAGCTGGTAATGAAAGGAAGAATAAGCTTCTTCTCGAGGTCGAACTGTAGGGACAGCACGGCGGTGCGTAAGTTCTTTAGAGAGATGGGCCTGAAATATGTGGAGATCAACATCGATGTGTACCCGGAGAGAGAGAGTGAGCTGAGAGAGAGGACGGGTACTACAGCTGTGCCGGCGATATTCTTCAACGAGAAGCTGTTTGGGGGATTGGTTGCGTTGAATTCTCTGAGGAACAGTGGGATTTTCGAGCAGAAGTTGTGGAAGGAGGTGATGACCGTGAGATGCCCCGATCACGCGCCCGCACCGCCAGTGTACGGTTTCGATTATGCAAACTTGGATGATCAGATGGACGAATTGGTGGGATACGTGAAGGTTCTGAGGCAGAAATTACCCATTCAGGACCGCGTGATGGCTATGAAGATGAAAATCATTCATAACTGCTTTTCTGGGGCAGAGTTGGTGGAGGTGCTCATTCACCACTTGGACTGCGGCCGTAAGAAGGTGCGCTACGCATGCCTCATGCTTAGTACTTTTCTATTCCTCTGTTATTTTTGCCTGGGTCAATTCTGGTTCTGTGAATGAATTTTTGGTTAATTTAATTTACTTTAATTAATATACATAAACTTCCATCAAACTACTAAAATGAATATCTGACGTTTAAAATTATGCATAAATTATTTTCTTACCTATGATAAGCCTAATGTATGTGTTTGGAAACTTGAAGTAATATGAAGTATATTTATTTATGTTAAAAATGGTTATTATTACAACTTTAATAAAATTGATAAAAAATAATGAATTTTTTCCCCCGAGGCTCAACATAAACAGTAGGAATAATGACACGCACGAGGGTCTGGTGAATAATGACACCGGAGCGGGAAATGGGAGTTTCAAAACTTGAAGCAACATAATTTAGTTTCCACACATGTACAAGTAAAAAATTTACCTAACTTCCTATCTTATTATCTCATCGTTGAACGATTTTTTTCACCTGTTTTGTACTTTTGAACTGCCTCGATTACAATGGGAATGATAGTTGGATCCTTTGTAAAGAAATTATTAATACTTTCATCACTATTAATGGACTATACTGTTGTTGCCATTATCGAAAAAGGTATTTATTTCAAAAGATCAAAGTATTTATAATTTTCTTAGAAAGAACCCTCAAACGACATTATCCTGATTATATCTCTTTGTTGTTTCATTTTTGTAATTAAGGGGAAGAGAATGAGGCATGGATTTTCCCCCTTTTACTGTATGATGTATAGGGTCTGTTTGGTTTAATAGGAAGATAGAGAGTTTAATGGAGGAAAAAGAAAAGGAAGAGAGTGGAGGAGTTTTAATATTATCTTGTTTAGATTTATTAAAAAAAAGAAGATAGGAGGAGTTTTAATGTTACCTTGTTTGGCTCATGAGGAGAAGGGAAGAAAAATATTTTAATATGGATAATTTTACCTTTATTTTATTTAACGATATTTCTTCAAATTTTATGGAATGTTTAATCAAATAGAATTATATATAACATTTAATATATAAAAATATATTCTATAATATTTTGTCAGCAAAAATTATATTTTATGCTTATATTTACAATATATAATACTCCTCCGGTCCTTAATGTAAGACCCATTTAACTAATTTGATTAAATTAAGGAAGTTAGGTAAGTTAGTTAATAAAGAAAAGTGACACATTTTTCCTAAAATACCATAATCATCTTTTTTAATATCTCCTCTCCCTCTTCTATTTGATTATGGTTGAGGGAGTATCTATAGTGGTAATTTAGATAAAATTGATAAATATGATAAATGGGTCTTATATTTAGGACCAAAACCAACTCAAAAATTGGGTCCTATATTAAGGACCGGAGGAGTAATTATTATTATATGTTTTAATTCTTATCTGATTGTTATTTTATTGGCTTTTAATTGAACTCTTCAAAATATAACATGGACAATCCATTTGTTATTTTATTGACTTTGTGTCGGGATGGGAAAGGAGAGAGTAGTGTCTGCGTTCAGAGAGAAGAAGGGAAGGGCTTAGGATGATACAAAGATATTAAAAATAAAAATAGACATAATAGTCATAACATAACAAAATATTACCCTCTCCCTCAAAATCCTCTAATTTTGGAGAGGAGAGTTAGGAGGGGAGGGAAAGGAAAATTTTATAAAATTTTTCCTCCCCTTCTAAAATTTTTATGTTGCCACACAAACAAAAAAAGATCAAAATCCACCATCATCCCTCCCCTTTTCTCCAAATCCTTCATACCAAACGTAGACTTAGTGTTGAATATCCATCGGACTAGACGTTAGAAAAGGGAAGGAATGAAAAAGCAACAGAGAATTATATATACGTGCACACACAATTTTTGTTTCTTTTTAATTAGATGATGCTGTAGAATAAGATAATTCAAATAAATGAGGTATAATATAAATATCAGTTATCACAAGTTAATGTTACTGATTGTTCTCATTATATCGTATTTTTCTATCTCTCAGTGGTAGGTATGTCACGGAAACTTCCTGGTGTCCTGAAGCTTGTGTATTGTTGTTGTTTTCTATAACGTTCACTCTTATTATCACCCCACATGGCGATGTCATGCAAATAGTCGTTTGTTTTGGTCTCCTATTCGAAAAAATAATTGTTAAGCATAGAGAGTCCTGGTTTCTTAAATATACTCTTTAGGGAAAATACTTAACTTTAAAAAATATAAAAATATTGAATATTAACTTGCAAAAAATATAAAATTATGAAGTATAAAATTTTTTATATTTAATACATAAAAAAATAAATAATATTAAAAATAAGAGAGAATAACTGTGCGTGTATTTATGATTTAAATGATGACATGTATTTCATGATTTCTTGCACTTTAAGTTTGCCACTCCATTAATATATTTTTCAGATTTTAAAAGGGGCTATCGTGGAGCAACCACAAACCTTCACATGCTTATTTTCTTTCTTTAATGCCCATTGCACTAGCATCGGTTTCTGACTTTTCATTTTTATGCGCGTCTTCTGTCTTTCTCTTTCAATTTATGCACCAAAAAATGAAAACGAAATCCCAATGATGACCTTTGCCTAATGCCTATTCTAAGCAAGTGGGGCCATACATCGTCAATTTCTTTTAGACAAACATTGTAACTAACAATTAAAATTTTGACTTTTTTTAATAAATTTTTATGGAACGTATAAAATATAGATACAAATTAGAACTCTTAGATTTTTTTTTTTATATTGTTTGACTTTTGACTACACATTGCTGTAATTTTATATTAATGCTGATTATTGAAAAAGAAATTGTAGTTGATATTTTTTTTATTTTATATACTTAAACATATATACACACACAAACATATCAATATTAGATTTAAACATAAAATCTTTTAAGCATGATAGGTGATACTGTTATTAGAGGAGTTTGCTGTTAAAAATTATAATCAATACTTGAAAACTATTTTATCTCTTTAAAAATGAAAATTATGCATGGCTCTACGTTAACGCTAATATTGCTATTTGTTTATTTTTTATTTTTATCTTTTATTTAAAAAAAGTTTTCAATACATCTCTAACCATTTGAATCCTTATTAATTATTAGTCATCTCATTCTGAATTTGTATATCATTTTGTTTGTAAAATATGAGGTTGAAAAATATTTTTATGTAAGAAAATAACTTTCTCAGTGTCTCTTCATCCACCCTGCTATGTTCCACTCTCCTAAATTTTCGACTTCCTCTTTCTTCCTGTGCCACCTTATTCTTTGTCCATCACTTCGAGTCCAGTAAATTCCAAGTGCTAACAAAAACTAAAAGCAAGCTGTTTTTTTCCCCAAGAAACCTTAATCACGATCCAACCATAGATATCCATCTCTTTTTAACTTCTAGAGCTGACCTTGCCAGCAGTAATGGTAATTTCTTAATATTCTGTATCGGTTGAATGTGACACTTTGAAATAAAAATGTTTCCGGTATTTGTGTGTTCAACAGTGAAATCTGTAATGTTTCCACTAAGTGTTTGTCTTCGAAACTTATCATCAGGCGGTTGAGATCGGAAAGCAGTTATCCAAGAAGCATTTCATTCATCGTGTTTTCGGGTAAGAGAATAACTTTTAAAGTTAGTGACGTACTAGTAAAAAGATTAAATCTAAGGACTATTAAAATTTTCAAAGAAAATATAATTAGTATTTCTTCTTTAGCAAGTAACTAACATGGGCCTCCGGTATTTGCACGTGTACCAGGCCCAAGTGTTCTCAGCCTGTGAACAGTGTTCTTCACTGTTTTTTTTAATAATTTATATTGATGTTTACTATAAACTTGTCTCTAATGCTACAGTATAACCATGCGCTATCACATTTCGATTGAAAAATATAATAACAAATGTATAAATAATACATACAAGTTTTTCCTATGTAGTTATATGACGCACTATTCTTTAGGAGGTTCCTTCATGTCCATGTCAACTTTCAAATGTAGGGAAAATGATTTTGAGGATGGAAACCACCTCTACCGTTTCCTTGAGCATGAACCATATGTCACCGGTTGCTTTAATTTCCGGACCATCACAAATGATAATGAACCAAAACCTGCAGTTGCAGTATGCCAAAGACTTACCAAGTTCATGTCTGCCATTCTCGAGTCTTATGCTACTGATGACAGGCGATACCTTGACTATTCAGCCATTGGCAAAAGCGAAGAATTTCGCAGGTAGGATATTAGTTGTATGGTTCAGAATGGAATTGAATGGTTTATTTTGGTGAATAATTTGTATCTGCGTGAAATGTGGTTTTGGTTAACATGTATAATCGCATAGTATGCTGCATCTAGTATCTTGACTCTGAAGTCACGTACTCACTAATTGTTCCTAACAGACACATTGACATTTGATACTACAAAATGAAATGTTCGTCTATATATGTAGATGTATTGCATGATGCTTAATATAATTCAGTGACATGAATCAGACACGGATATGCCTTTCTTTTGTCCATTTCCTCAGCGGTTTCCTGCTGATTTTCTGGATTTCATTTTCCCTCACAAGATTTTTGAGTTCAAATCCCGTGTTATTTATTTAAGAATGAACAATGAATAAATTAACCTCTTCTCTGTCTAATACCGGATTTCCAGAGCTTTTGAGCATTCATAAACAACCAGTTGTTGGTGTTCGCTTTAAGACAGCATTAAATTGGCAATCAAAATTTGATGCTAAACTCGTCACTTCGAATATTACAACCTTTCCGTAGGCTGTTTTTATTCTAGGCAGTACTTTCTGAATTTAATTTTGATTTCGAACTCTTTTCTCGAATTTATTAATCATAGATGCTCCTTTTCACACTTGAACTTATATTTTCCTCCAATTCTATGTTTTGTGCTTTTGCAATTTGAAGGTCTCTTCTAGTCCATTCCGAAAAGTGCCTGGATTTTGGGGAAAGTAGTGTGATATTCGTTTGGGTTGATGATGAGGGGATAATGGAGGGAAGAGAAAGGAAGGTGAATAATTTAATCATTTCCCTTCTTTGATAGTTATTCGCTCTTATATTCTCTCATTCCTACAACTAGGGGGGTTCTGGAGGGAAAAGCCTCTACGAACAAGTAGAATTATCACTCAACCTTTGCTTCCCATCTTTCTCTCCCCTTGCAAAAAACAGGAAACCTTGACTGTTCTTTTCACTTTATTGAGACACTTCCGCTGCTTAAAGAAGATAGATGGCTTATTGAAGTCCCTGCAAGGAACCTGAGTTCTTCTGTGTTGCCTGTGTCAGTTTTATGGTGGCTGTATCGTTTACCTTTTATCAAGCAGAGACTCAGACACACTACCACGTTTTTTTTCTGCATGACTCAAAAGATATGCTTGGCACATGGCATACAATTATACCTCGTAACATGTCTTAGTAGAACTTCTCATTTCATTTAAACCAAGAAGGTGGCTTTGGTTATTGAGAAATTGAAATAATGCGTACTCTCATGGGAACTTCCAACGTCTAATTGGGGTCTATTCCTCTTTTTCCTAACTGCAGGTATGTAATTGCGGCCCAGGATCTTCAACGAATTAACGTCGGGGAACTGTCAGAAAACGAGAGGCTTGCTTTCTTCATGAACTTGTACAATGCCATGGTCATCCATGCTCTTACCAGAGTAGGGTCTCCGCAGACAGTATTGGACAGGAATTTCTTCTACTCTGATTTCCAGTATGTGGTTGGAGGGCTCCCTTATTGTCTCAACTCCATTAAAAATGGTATCCTCAGATGTAATCAGAGGGCACCGTATTCTTTGATGAAGACCTTTCGTTCAGGACACAAGCAATTAGAGGTAAACAGTGTTCAATTATAAATTCCTCATTGTCTTCACAGGGTTTTAAAATTCTAAATTTGATCCTCCAAAGTGTATGGATCTCAATTTCGTTTGGCAGTGAACTTTTCTCAATGGAGTTATTTTTTCCCCCTTTTTCGGTTTATTTGTTAAACTGACCTGAATCTTGGGTACTGACTCGCTTTTACGTCATTTTGACAAACGGAAGGACTTAACAACATTGTGAGGCTTTCGGAGGTCAAGGATCTCATTGAGAATTTCTCAAGGATGCCTAATTTCTGGAATTTTTTCTTTATAAAAAAGAAAAAAAGCTACAATTTATGTTCCTATCTGCGGACTTTAACGCACCCTGAAGTTTTAGTGTGTTTCTTGGTCCTTCGTTTGTACAATCTGATTGAGTACGAAGAAAGGTTACTAACTTGTTCCAGCAAATTGCAGTTTGCCCTCGTCAAGATGAATCCATTAATTCACTTTGGGATTTGTAACGGCACAAAGTCGAGCCCAAAGGTGAGGTTCTTTTCACCTCAAGGAGTTGTAGAAGAACTAAGACGTGCTGCAAAAGAATTCTTCCAAGAAGGTGGCGTAGTAGTGGATCTGGAGAAGAGGACTGTTTATCTCACTCGAATTATCAAGTTGTAAGCATTTGAAAGCCCCTTTTAACCATTCATTTGCATTTAGTCTGGAACTCTAGTTTTCTGGGTAGAGACATAGAGAACGAAGATCTATAACGCTGTGTGTATAAAATAAATTTTTTAATACAGATTTTGAGAAAATTAAAGGTGGAGAATTCAAACTTTTTGGAAAAAGGTGCACTTTTTGCGTTACTCTGGAACTCTAGTTTTGCACATTAAAAAATGAGGGCGCAGCCCTTTTTTAAGAGCCTGGTACTAAATGTTTTCTGGCCAACAGTACTTCATGCTTGAAAGTCGATACATGCCTCATTTAAACTTCACATAAATCATATGAATGTTTCTAATTTCAAAATTTATACAACTATCTTTTGGAGGGCTATATAATTTCATAAGAACTGAGGTATTTTGTTTTTTGTTCTCTAGAGAGGGGATTGCTTGGATTTTGAAAATAGACCAAGATCTGCGTAATTTAGCAAAATTTAGGAAAGATCCATTATTTTAATTTGGTATGGAAAACAAATGAGAAGTCTAAATAGTTTCAACAAAATCTAGATTAAAAAAAATCCATGCAGTTTAGTCTAATTGAAGCCTAATTCTTTAACTTGGTTTGGATTGTAACGAAAATCCTATTTGCCAGGTATGATATGGATTTTGGACAAGGCAAAGACATTCTGAAGTGGGTAATCCATTACTTGGATCCAACTAAAGCGGGCTTCTTGACACATCTCTTAGGTGATGGTGGCCCTGTTCACATCTCGTATCAAAACTATGATTGGTCAATAAATTCTTGACAACTGTAGTGCACCCATTTGATTCAGCTATTCATGGCTGCCTGAACTCATGGAGACTGGAGTGTTTATTGCCCCAGATTTTGAAATGTTGATCACAGTCCACATGGAGATTCTTTAGCTTTTTTTTTTTTTAGTTAGCCCAACAGAGAGACTTTAGAATTAATAAGATAGCAAAATAGGGAGTTTCTTTAGTTTGTTTCTCTATTCCTCCTTTCATATGTGCACATCTTTGGCGCTTAATTATATAGCATATAGCAACGGGGTTGGTGTGTGTACATGTTTAGGGTGCACATATGCAATTTTATTTGGCAATGTTTTAAGTTTTTGTCTTCGACAGGATTTTCTCTAACAAGTCTAATATACAAATTAGTTAGACATGTGCAATTGGCGATTCACGCATCCAAAATCGTTAATAACTAGACTACAGAACTTGTCATCATATATAGCCCATGTACAACCCATACAATTTACTATATATGCATCTAATATTCCATACAATCAATATACAACCAAAAAAAAAAAGACTAAGCAATAGTATGCATCTAATATGAGCAAGTTACAAAAGATAAACATGTAAAACTTATCTTCTGTTCTAATCTTGTTAATTATAGAAAGTGTTCTGACCAATTTTATGTTTCTCTCTCATCAGAATATGGCTCCAAACTTTGAAAATATTGTAAATTCAAAAACCTTTAGGTAAGCAACATTCTAAGAAAATTTCAATGTCTAAACCAAAAATAGGATATTTATAAAATATTATTACCTTGTCAAATGAGGTAGTGATGCCCTTAGTGATGATATCATACAAATACATCATCACATGATATTTGCATTCAAAACTTTTTGATTGTTTATGGCACTTGAATGTACAAAAATAAGAATAATCAAATTAAAAAAAGTCAATAATATAATTAATTTAATCATTATTTAAAATTAAAATACTTATCTTCAAAAAGACCCAGTTGACATCACTTTGACTATTCTTTCTCACCAACTTACAATGCACCATCTATTGTCAAATACTTGTAAGAAAATAATATTCTAATAATATAAAATAAAATTACACATAATACGTATGTTTCAAAAACTCTTCGTGTCTTCACTCACTCCCCATTGTAAAGAACAAAACCGATATAGAGTATGCTCACATGGGCAGATAACAGTGAGCCTCCAATAATTACTAAAATATGAGATTATATTAATATCATGTCATTAAGAAAATTTTTACTTAACTAAAAAATGAATTAGAATTAAATACCTTTCAATAAATGGTACAAACCAACACTTTTTATTTCTTTCTTGAATTGCACCCCCAATATAGGACGTTATCTCACTTACACTACTGTTTCTAGACAATTAGATAGGATATGGGTACAAGAATCTGTAATAATTAATGTTACCCAATTTTTCGCACATATTGTGGAGATACCTATGATAATTTTAAATAAGTTAGTCAAAAATAAAAAAATTATAAATGTTCAATTAAAAAAAGACCATACTTACATAAGAAAAAATTGAATTATTGATATGTTTAACCAATCAAGAGAAATGATGTTAATAACATCCTGCTTGAAGACTCTTAATTGAAAAGAAAAGGGCGCTCCACAATCTCCTTCCTTATATTTAATTCAATGAAATCATCCATGTCAACAACAACAAAAGCCAATCGCCTCCAGCCATTTTACTTGGTTTTGGCATTAGCTTCAGTTGCATGTAAAGAATTTGAACCCAAAAAATCTTTCGACTGTTGTAACTAATAAAAAAATTAAAAATGTATACCATTTTAACTGGGGAATGAAAGAAAATTATAACGTTATTCATACATCAACTGCAACTTTAGAGATTAGCCTTCCTAGACAAAAAATAAAATTTTGTGTAGCTCTTACTATTTTTACCTCATCATTAGAAAATGGTATTAAGGCAGTAGTGTCTACAGCCTTTTCAATTACTACCTTTACTTGAAACTATGTAAAGCCCAAAAACTTGTAAAAGGAACTTTTTTTTTAATTAAAACCATTTAATAAAAAATTGTGGGCCATTTGGAGGCCCTCAGCTAACATTATGGCAACAAGTTCTCTAAGATACTGTTCGGTACAAGAGAAATAGAGAAGAGGGATGGGGAAGGAAAATTTTAATAAACTCTGTTTAAAAAATTGGAGAAGTGGGGTTTTGAAATTTTAATAAAGAGAAGAAGTAATATAAAAAAGTAATAAAAATTAATTAAAATCTTTTAACTCTATTTTTTAATTTTGTAAATTGAGCTTATTAAAATTTTCCCTTTCCTCCTTTCCTCTTATTTTCCTTCATACTAAATGGACCCTAAAACCTGACGCCATAATAAAGCCAAAAATGTTTAAAAAAAATTGTTAATGACCCACTTAAAAAATCAGTTATAATGTAACTATAATACTATTGTCTTTTAATTTTTTTATTTAATTACAATTTTCACATGTTATATTTAAAATAGATTTATTTTTGTAATTTAATTTTAAAAGGTTAGGATTTTTTAATTAAATATAGCATCTGTTGTGTACAAAACTGATTCTATAATTTTTTATCATGGCATTAGTTTAAAGTACACTAGATCGAATAATATTATAAACTCAATCATCAGTTTCAAGTGTTTATAGAACTAAAACCAAAATATAAATTACGGAGTCAATTATACTTAGAATATAAACAAAAATATGTCATATATATTACTACTTCAATTTATAAAAATTATTGTCAAAACTCATACTATTACAGTCAAAACTTATACTAATATTGTAATAGGTTCTTATTTATAATTTTTTTATTTTGACAGTCTTTTTTTATGATTTTTTCTAAAACATCCGGTTTTACTTGTATGTTTTATTTTCTAGAACAAGGTTGATGCTCCTTGTTGACCAAAAATAAAAACACAAAAACAAAAACAAAAAAACCCGACGCTCCTTAAAACCCTGAATCCATTTCCAAATTTCTTCCACTTCGGTTACGGACTCACGGCGTCGTCACTGTCTCCGGTCCCGTGGACATTTGCGTATTATGTGCGCGTATGTTCTCCAATCGATTTTGCGCGTTTCACTTCCATTTATATCTCGATTTCTTGCCGTTTCTTTGGTCTTTTAAGGTAACATTAGATTTCTCGACCTTATTATTCATGTTCAATCAGGACCCATTCAATTCTTTCTTTTGAACTTTCATCTGGCGACTGTTATGGAGAGAAGCATGGGGTACATCTTGGTTTCTGTTACATCTGATACATTTTTGACAGTTTGAAATCCCTTCCCCCGGTTATGTTTGCAGTTGATTTCATCCTTGTGAGTTGAAACAGGATTATTGAAGCTTCTAGTTCTCTTTCTTTCGGGTTCCCCTTTAGCTTAAAATTGTCCTCTTATCTAATAGACAATGGGTTTATTTTGTTATGGCCATGTTATCTGCACCAGTTTTTTTTTCCCCCCTGCTCTGGTATGTCTTTGGTTAATTCGTCTGCTAGTTTCAGTGGACTGGTAGAAATTACGTTGTCATTAGTGTTCCCTTCCATAGTCATGTTTGTGCCGATAGTTGTCATTAGCATTTTTATTGCTTCACTCAAAATGGTTGAATTATAAATTAAAAACAAAATTGACTTCTTGTTTGTGAATTCCAGGATATTAAGTTTGCAATTGGAGTCCCGTGTATGTTCGTCCTCTTTCCTCAGTTTTGTTGAAGGAGGCTTCTGATCAGTTGTTAGGGTCACTAGAAAACATCCAGTTAATTCTTATGGCAAGTCGTGCCATTTCAAGATGGAAAATCCCTTACTTGTCTGCCATATTTGTTCGCAACATCATGAGAACTCCGACGCAAGAGTCTTTTTTGCCCAGTAGATCGATGATTCCACAAGTAGAATGCAGTTCAGATAAAACGATGTGGATTTTGAAGCAATATCACGATGGAAGGCCAAGAGGACCCCTTTGGAGAGGAAAGAAGCTTATAGGCAAAGAAGCACTTTTTGTAGTATTGGGTTTGAAGAGGTTTAAGAATGATGAGGAGAAGCTTCAAAAGTTCATAAAGTCTCACGTGTTGAGGCTTTTGAAGATGGACATGATTGCCGTTCTCAGTGAGTTGGAGCGCCAGGAAGAAGTTTCTTTGGCTGTCATGGTTTGTTTTCGTTCTGATTCTTATGTGGCTTCATCGTTTTCTTTCTAGTTAATAAACTTCATTATTTTTAGAATTTTAGTTAGTTCTTAACTGGTTCCCTCGTCTGGTCCCTTTTTGTCATTGGGTTATGATTTAGCTGACAGAAAGTAAATTTATCTTACAGGGGCGAATATCTCAATTGTTGACATGTTAAACGACTTCGGTCATACAAAACCGGAAGTGATTTAATCTTTAACTTGTTTGTTAAAATGCCCAAAGATGCATCCATGAAATCTTTACTTTCTTTGATGAACATCTTTAGATATAGTTTCTCGGTGTCATAAGAAAATCTTTAGCTTACACAACGATTTTTTTAGATTTAGTTTCTTTGATGAACACCTTTATGTTTTATGTTGGTATTTAATGCTAGCTATTCTTATATCCCTGAGCTTACAGATCCCTTAATGAATGTTTAGATGTTTAAGGTGATACAAAAACAAGATTGGTACAAGCCTGATGTATTCTTGTACAAGGACTTGATTATTGCATTAGCGAGGTCACAGAAGATGGATGAAGTAATGCAATTGTGGGAAAGCATGAAAAAGGAGAACCAGTTCCCTGATTCTCAGACATATACTGAAGTTATTAGGGGTTTCTTGAAGTATGGATCTCCTGCAGATGCAATGAACGTATATGAACACATGAAGAATTCTCCAGATCCACCAGAGGAGTTGCCATTCAGAATTTTGTTGAAAGGACTCCTTCCGTATCCGCTTTTGAGAAATAAAGTGAAACAAGATTTTGAAGAGATCTTTCCTGATCAGAACATTTATGACCCACCTGAAGAGATATTTGGGGTGCGCTGAGGTGTGGACTTTTTTCCTTCCCTTCCCTGCCCCTCTTCTATACTGTGTTGAAACAGAAGATGATATTGATTTTGAGCTGAGAATAGAGGTGCTCTGGCAGAATCTTCGCTTCACTTAGGTTAGTAATTCTGCCTTCTGCTACTTATCTGTTACCGTTGGGCCTTTCTGTTGGACACGGCAGTGTAACAAATTCACAGCCATGGCTTCTTCTGGCTTACATAGTCATATTTTAACAAAATCTTTTCATATACAGCAGAATTTGAATGAGAAATCTCTCTCCTTATTCATTGATGATGAGATCTGTATATAAATACTAGCAAGAGAGATGCTGAGCTAAATCTTGGCTTGAGACTCGGAAGCCAACATCTATTAATTTGAGGATGTCATTATCCCACTTGTTTTCATAGACATCTTAGTGTTTGAGTTTTGGTATGGATGCACAGATTGTTCGAGTATAAATTTTTTGTTGGCGACTCGTAAATATTTACTTTTTAATAGGAGTAAAATTTACTATGAGTTGATGGATTAATCAGGCCGGTTTTTTAGACTTGATAGTTCGATTATCAAATTTAAATTTTAGCAACTTGTGACCTACACTAATTTTGATGCTTCTTATTAATTTTACGAAAATTCACTGGCCCTTGTAATTTATCTCAATGTTAAATCAAGTCTGGAGTTTATTTTGTGTGAATATGGCCCTTCCACTCTAGTTGATTCAATATGAGAAAGAACATTACTCCTCTAATCCTAAATATAATACTCATTTTGTAGTATATTGCACTATAAAATAGGTTTTATATTTATGAGTATCATAATTTTAACTTGTTGAGATAGAATGGTAAGTTAATGTGAATGTGCACAACCTCCAATAACATAACATTGAACATGGAGGACTAAGAAGATGGATGCGTATGCAATTGTAACCCTGAGGACGCCATAAAAAGTAGCAGAATTCATCGCATCGTTGATTTTATGCCCACTAATACGGAGCTCACAAGGGCTTCTGCGGGGAAAACATGAAATGAAAGCAAACATTCTGAGCAAAATGTACCACCATACTCATTCAGAATGTATCTTAAACCAATAATTTACATAATTCTCTAGAGAGATGCCACTGTGTCTTACAATTAACAAGGTAGATCTGGTGATGCAAAATTTGGTGGCCGTTGAAAAATTAAATATACTGAAGTTGGAGTCCAAATTAGCGTATGGGATCATCTGGTGACTCTGTAAGCCTGCACACCAAACACCAATTCCCTTAAAAACGCAATGCAACAAGGAGGTCCCAAGAAGAGCAGAAATCGCTAGGCAGCATCGAAAATATTGTTTACAAGATATTTGAGTGGTTCCATCTCTCACCTTGACCTTTTCTAGAAGATCTCTAGCATTACTGTCCTTTTTGAAGTGTTCCCTGACAGGCTGCCCACACAAATGAAGACGTATTAGTTTGCACCATATACTAACAGCAGATAAAGTAAAAGCCATACGTTTGCAAACATTCTCAAACTTGCCAAACTATTTTACAAGTCTCAGCCCCATTGTCTAAAAATCACAAAATTGAAGTTAAAACAAGAATTATAACTTCTTGCCAAGTTTTTTACAAGTCAAAGCCCCCCAAATTTTAGGTTTAGTTAATACATACTATTTCTCCCAGATTAGCCGACTACACAGGGCCCTCTCTATATCTATGTATCTATCTCCCCACAAGAACGTGGCATCGATATATGGTTGCAAAATATAGCAAAATCGTTCATAACAACTCCGTTTGAAAACAAATGATACTCGTACAACCGAGCTGAAAATTTTGAAACTGTTTCAAAACCCGGAGGAGGAATATAGTGAGCACAAACTTGGGTAGAAAAAATTACCTCCAGAATTCGATTCAACAACTTTGCTAAAGCTGGTTTAAGATCAGCTGGATGTAGCTCCCCGCTTTCGTAGTCAGCAATAAGGTCCTCAAATCTCTTAAATGTCCTATATTAAAAGCAAGAATACAAATAATAAATCTTGAGAACCATCCAAGACCCAAGCAGTGAGAAAACAAACTCATGGGAACCAAAATAGTTCAAGTGGCAATTAACAAGAGGGAAAGTTTACATTAGGAGAACTAATAGAAGCCCACCCATCCACAAATGGAACCAGTAACCACTAACTACTTCAACAAAAGGCAGTAAAACTCAAAAAACTCACTTATTTCCACCATTCTCTGCACTGCGCTCCACTAAGAACTCACTAAATTGTGGCATAATAAGGTACTTTATGTACTCCAAGCACGGATTTCCTTCCACAATTTTTGGTGGACAATGAGCCTTCTCTATCTTCAGGTTCACTTCGGCCTATATTATCCAGGCAAAAAGTTAAAATGTCAGAATGAGTGCTGAATGAACAATTCAATTAAAAATGTTTAGTTTATTACACAATATAAAAGAATGGGACTACTCATCTTCACTTTTCTGTATGACAAATTTAACACCCTCCACCCACTTACCTCCTCATCATCCATGAATATGGATGATGATGGGTCACTTTTTGACATTTTCTCTTGCCCTTGCTGTAAACCGGGTAACATATCTGCAGATCAGCACCGAAACAATTATTAAGAGATATGTCCAACAAAAATACGAAACTGCTCAAGTAGGGAAAAAAAGGATGATACGATGTGACAAGATGATAGGCTTGTTCTTCCTCTTAATGTGATCACAGTGCTCTCTAGCGAGTACATTCACTTTGCGCTGATCCGTTCCCATTTGGCAGACGTCGGCCTATTTTAAGAGAAGAAATTAATGGAACATTCATTAACATATTTCAAGCAAAATGGAGAAGGCACTTTCAGAAAAGAAAATACGAGCTACATCAAAGATGAATACCGCGAGAAATGTAACAACATCCATGAATTTATTTACTAAAAACCAACAAAGGAAGAATGAAGTAATGCAGATCAATCATTGCATGATAATGCCAGAATGAAAACATAAAATCTCTAGCTCTGTAAGAAGAAGCCATTTACACAGTCATAACAAATAAGAAAAAAAAAAAAGAATCAAATTAAGAACTATGATAGAAAAATCTCAAGACCAAAGTACACTCGGGAAGGTTTTACCCGACAAACTCTCCCTTAGGCATTAAGGATGCAAACTATAACTCAATAGGAACCCTTTTAATATCTAGAAATTTCCACTTTTCTCCGTCAAGAATCATTGGTAGTAAACTAGGCATTTAAGGATCTAACAGTGTAAATATGATCTTGAAACGCTATGATTACTTATAAAACTATAATAATTGGGAATCTTTACATGGAAACAGCTCTTTTGGGGGGAAAAAAATCAACACTTATCACTCAATGTTGTTTAATTTAATTCTAGAATGACTTCGTACAAAGTCAGGAAATTAATATTAACGTATTGAATTAATATTATAATGGTGAGATGTTTACTAAAATATGAAGAGTGCACCTTGAGAAAAAATACGTCAGCACACTGCATGCATGGATAAATGATCTGGCCTACAGTTAATTCATCTTTTTCACTTCGTCCCATGATTTGACTACACCTGTTGTTGGGAAGACAGAAATCAAGAACAGCTTAGATGTGGGACACCGAATAAGTCATTTACTTAAGCTCTGAATGCACCAAACCAACAATTACCTGATTAACCTTTTAACATTGTTCTTTTGAGCTATATTCCATACAAGAGGCCAGTATTCATGAGCTCTTGCATTAATCTCCTTTGATGCCCATATGAAATCTACCTTTCCTCCATCTATGTCCATCCCAACAGCTTTCCAAATTTCAATTAAGTAACGGCCCACTACTTCAATCTTCTTCAAATCTCCTCCCATTTTATTATTTAACTTTGCAAACCAATCAGCAATCCATATCTTAACTCGACACCCAGCAGATGTCAGCTTGTTCACATTTATAGTCTTCATGACTCCCTGCGCAAGTGACAAAACCAAAGATTTGATTCCACTAAAAAGCAAGAATGCCGTCAATGTCAAGCGGTGCTCTTGCCATGCCTTTCTCCATTCAATTTATCCAATAGCCCAAAAGTGTAAGAAACAATACACTTTACCATTTTCCAACTACATTTTCAGATGATGAATTAATCAAAGCAAAGAAAACAGCAGACTATTCAGTAAATTTGGGTACCTGGGCAACGTGCATCCGACCAGAGGGTTCAAACCCATCATAGCAAACAGGCTCATGTTTCCCTGCCAGCAAATTTAGGAGCTCATCTTCTTGAATACACTCTTCTCCAACGCTCCTCACGATTTGAAACCTCTGTTCCAAACTCAATCTGTGGAGAACACTTAAAAATTGAGTATAAATAACAACTCCATGGAAATTTAAACCTGCAAGTTAAGTGGTCCAGAAAATTTACTCATCAGTTGTATTTGGATTTGAAGAGCCAGATGATTCTGCATTGTCTGAATTGGGTATGGACAAAGATTCCATAGCTTCTCGTGGTGGTTCTTTTGGGGTAGCCTTGATGGTATCCATATCCTAAAGTTGTAAAAATTTTGGTAAAGACGTGGGAAAAAAAATGTATAATGCATATTTGTGTAATATAAGTTTCTAGCCAAATGAATAGCCTGAAAGGTCTAGATAAGTATGCATGCTACAGGTCACGGCAGTTTCATGTTACTTGGAATTGGAATTCCATATTTTAGAGGTTCCATCACTCACCTTGACCCTTTTTAGAAGATCTTTAGCATACTTGTCCTTTTTGAAGTGTTCCCTGACAGGCTGCACATTTAAACAAAGAGGGATTCACCTTGCACCATATCGTAAAAGGAGATAAAGTAAGAGGTGTGCGTATGCACACATTTTCAAACAGGAAATATGTTATTGGTAAACTATTTTGCAAGTCTGAGCCCCTTGTCTAAAAGTCATAAAATCAAAGTTAATACAGATTACATATCCTAGGTTTACAGAACAAATAGACTTTATTCTTCCCCCTTTTTTTTTTTGTGTGGGGGGGGGGGAGGTTTTCTTTTTTTAAGAGTCCAAGATCTTTGGTGATGCTGCAGCTACTACCCCTACTCTCGCTCGCTCTTTAGTCTTTAATGCTATCTCCGGAAGTGTCTTCTTACAAAAGTTTTCTACACGTCAAAGCCCCCCCTCTAAAATTGATATATATTATCTCTCCAGGGTTAGCAGACCACATAGGTCTCTCTCTATATATATCTATCTATCTCAGCACAAGAACGTGGCATTGATATATGTTAGCAAAATATATGGCAAAGTCTTTTAGAATAAATCTGTTTAAGAACAAATAATACTTGTACAACCGAATTGAAAAATTTGGAACTCTTTTCAAAACTTGGAGGCGGAAAACATAATAAGCACAAACTTGGGTACAAAAATTACCTCCAAAAGTCTATTCAACGACTTTGCTAAAGCCGGTTTAAGATCAGCTGGATGTAGCCCCCCACTTTCGTAGTCAGCAATAAGCTCCTCAAAGCTCTTAAATGTCCTACATTAAAAACAATGATACAAATGATAGATCTTGAGAACCATTCAAGACCCAGGCAGTGAGAAAACAAACTCATGGAAACCAAAATAATTTAAGTGGTAATTAATAAGGGGGGGGGGGAGTTTACATGACGAGAACTAATAGGAGCCCACTCATCCCAAATGGAACCACAAACTGTTTCAACAAAAGGCAGCAAAACTTACTTATTTCCACCATTCTTTGCACTGCGCTCCACTAAGAACTCATTAAACGATGGTATGATAAGATTCTTAATGTACTCCAAGCACGGATTTCCTTCCACAATCTTTGGTGGACAATAAGCCTTCTTTATCTTCAAGTTCACTTCAGCCTAATATTATCCAAACAAGAAGTTCAAATGTCAGAATGGGAGTGCTGAATGAACAGGTGAATTAAAACCGATTATTTTATTACGGAATACTTGGGACAATGCATCTTCACATTTTCTATATGACAAATTTAACACCCTCCCCACGCTTACCTCCTCATCATCCATGAATATGGAAGATGATGGATCGCTTTTTGACATTTTTTCTCGCCCTTTTTGTAAGCTAGGTAACATATCTGTAAATCAACACCGTAACAATTATTAAGAGATATATCCAACCAAAATACAAAATTTCTCAGGAAAGGAAAAAGGATGATACAATGTGACAAGATGATAGGCTTATTCTTCTCCTTAACGTCATCACAATACTTTGTAGTGAGTTCGCTCACTTTACGCTGATCCGTTCCCATTTGGCAAATGTCGGCCTACTTTAAAAGAAGAAATTAATGGAATATTCACAAACATGTTTCAAGCAAAATGAAAAAATGTAGTTTCAGAAGAGAAACTGCAAGAAATGTACAAATGGAACCACAAACTATTTCAATAAAGGACAGCATGCTAAATAAACTATAAATTTAATATCTAGAAATTTCCATTTTTATGCTTCACCAATCATGGAAAAGTAAAAGTTGCTTATCAGACAATAATTGTACACTAGGCTTTTAAGGATCTAAAAGTGCAATTATGATCTTGAAACGCTATGATCGCTTCTAAAACTACAATAATTAGGAATGTATACATGGAAACAGCTCTTTTAAAAAATTTGACTTGGGACAGACAAAGTTAGACAATTGATATTAATATATTGACTTAATTTTATAATGGAAGCAGGCACCTTAAGATGTTTACTAAAATATGAAAAATGCACCTTGAGGATAAACACGCCAGCACACTGCATGCATGGATAAAAGATTTGGGCTCCAGTTAATTCATCTTGTTCGCTTCGTCCCATGATTTGACGATGCCTGTAGTTTGGAAGACGGAAATAAAGAATAACTTAGATGTCGGGTACCAAATAAATCATTGTTATGAATAATGCACCAAACCAACATTTACCCGTTTTCATCATTTACTTTGTTCTTTGGAGCTATCTCCAATGCAAGAGGCCAGTACTCACCAGCTCTTGCGTTAATCTCCTTTGATGCCCATACAAACTCTACCTTTCCTCCGTCCATATCCATCCCAGCAGCTTTCCAGATTTCAATGAAATAACGGCCCACTTCCTCAATTTTCTTCAAATCTCCTCCCATTTTATTGTTTAGCTTTGCGAACCAATCATCAATCCATATCTTAACTCTGCACCCTGCAGATGTGAGCTTGTTCACATTTATGGACTTCATGACTCCCTGCACAAGTCACAGAACAAAAGATTTAATTCTCCATTCAGTTTATCCAACAGCTTAAAAGTGTCCATTTCCCAACTACATTTTCAGATGATGGATTAATCAAAGTCAACTAAACTTCAGACTATTTGGTAAATTTGGGTACCTGAGCAATGTGCATGCGACCAGAGGGTTCCAACCCATCATAGCAGACAGGCTCAGGCTTCTTTGCCAGCAAATTTAGGAGCTCATCTTCTTGAATACACTCTTCCCCAACACTCCTCACGATTTGAAACCTCTGTTCCAAACTCAATCTGTGGGAGAACACTTGAGTAAAATAATTTGTGGATAATACTTGAAGTTTGAGTGAAAATAACAACTCCATGGAAAAATGAATGCCACAAGCTAAGTGGTCAAGGTAATTTACTGATTAGTTCGATTTGGATTTGAACTGCCAGATGATTCTGCGCTGTCTGAACTGGATACTAGCAAAGATTCCATAGCTTCTGCCTCCATTACTAGTGTTGAGATCAAGGGAAAATTATGTTAAACTGCCAAGGGAGATGATATTTATCTGAGAAGAATTTAAAAATTATAGTTATTTAGAAAGACGAAATGTCAAAACTTTACAAATACTAAATTGCCATAAAGCATCCAATTAAAACTTGCAACTCCTCTTACAATAAGGAAATAAATACCTCGTTAATCACTCAGATGAAACTCATCAAATAACAGGTAAAAAAGAAAGAAAGAAAGAAAGGAAGAAAGAAAGATTCAAGATAATAATTTACTTGTGAGTCGTAAAAGATATTCCCAGAGTATAAAAGAAGGAAGCTAACAAATTTCCCTAGCTAAGTTGAATTGGAAAGAGAATAGAAGACGCAAACTACTCCGTTAGTACTCACCACCAGTTAAATAAACAAATCGCCTTGATCGCAAGTGTAAGACATAGAGAAATATTCTTTACAAGTAAATACTGCCTCCGATCCTTAATATAAGATAAAAATCTAATCTATTTTGTCTCTCATATTTATGTATTTTTTTTCAAAAAAATCAATGATAGCTCTAGCCAATGTACTTAATTAGTAAGGATATTTTAGGAAAGACAACACTTATTCATTATAAATAACTAACTTAATTTTTTTTTTCAAATTAGTCAACTACCTCTTGTAATTATGACCGGAACTAGTAGAATATTTGTGCATGAGTAAAATGTGGGGGTTGGGGGGGGTGTGCATGTAAGCTCATCTAAATATGAGTACTGAGGAAAGTACTTATTACATTGATGTCATTACCAAAAGTAGATTCTCAAAATAATTATAAATATATATTTCCCAAATTGTGATTATTTATAAAAATTTATTACAATATGTTTATAGCATTTAAATTTATAATTTTTGAACAAAAATAATAATAATTAAGGCCAAAGGCATATTTATAATTAATCATAGGAATTGTATCAATATTAAATAAAATTATAAGAGAAATGGATAAAATTAAGTTGACAAAACGAAAGACACCAGCTACTTCCTCTGCCAAGCCGTCCAATTCACCAAATATGCAAATACATGTGAACTCACGAATACTGATAATTTTTGTTCTGAAATATCCCCATTAATTATAAATATAGTAAAAGGGCTTTCATGATTTCATCAAGAGGATAACTATAATGTACATTATTAGAAAGGATTTTTTTTTTTAAAAAAAAAGCTAATATATATTTGTTACAAATAGCAAATATAGCTAAATTTCTTAATATTCACAAATTATGTAGCCTTTATATTAAACATGTAATATATCAAAGCAAGTAAATTGAAGAGGGTAGTTAAAATTAATAACAAACGTAATGAGCGTGTATTGTAAAATATTTATAACATAACAAAAGAATGACACATCTTGATTTAATTGAAAATAGGTACCTTGTGCATATAATACTAAGTACATTTATCCAGTTTATTATATTTAAATTTCGAAATTCCAAATCAAGAATTACTACAAAAATATGTTGTCATTTACTTTTTGAATGTAGTCATTTTCTTTACGAGTGTAGTAACTAATACTGATTTGGAATTTTAAAATTCACCAATCACTATTTTGGGGATTTTCCCTATTATATAATATGTCACATTCCTTAATTATATTTTCCATTTTCCTATTTATTAAAAATTAACAAATCATATGATTGTGCGAAAGTAATCTCTGTTTGGCCTAATGTCTTCTTAGAACCCTAAACCCTAAACAAATCACAACAAATCACCCCTGTTTGTTTAAACTTAAAACGTGAAACTTAATTTACACGGTTTTGTTTAATTTCATGAAACTAAAATCAAATCAATTGCATCTGCATTAAGACTATTCTATCTACTGCTACCTCAAAAACTGTAATAGCAATGCATCTCTTCCCGATACGCATACACACATGTATATGATTATAAACCTACATGCAGATATGTTCATGTGATCTCTCTATTTTTATTTGAAGTGACATCTGTATGAATTTGACAGAAAATAAAAGAAGGGAAGATAAACGTACCAGGTCGGATTTGGGTCAAAGCTGCAGGTGCATCAAAGACAAGGGGAAAAAATAAGACAAGGGAGAAAAACAAAGGTAGTCGAGAAACCCTATAACTGCACTGTAGTGAATAACAAATGAGGCAGACGATATATTAGGAAGGTAAATCCTTTCTTGCCCCCAATTCATAATCATCATAAACGCTAGGGTCGCACAATGAACCGCAATAGTTGAGACCCCAACCCAAAGTCTGGTCTGATTTTTTATCAGGTTGGGTTTGGTAGTATGTGATCTGATCCAATATAATAGTAATCCTAGATTGGGTTGGACTGAACTTGGTTTGCTAAACTAGTGGACTATCACCAATTTTCTATTTTTTAAATTTTTTTTGCTTTGTGGGAAGCATGATTTTAACATAGTAAATTCAACTAAGACAATAAAAAAATACATATAATCATTAAAACTCATTCTGAAGTATTAAAACTTAATCGTAAATATATAAAAATCTCTAATAATATTAAAAATAATTAAAGGTACATCTAAATTACAAATTATTAAAAGTAAAAAACAAATCATCTGGACTAGATTAGACTAATCCAAGTGGTGTGATCACTTAGTTTGGAACTTATATAGCTTATTTGGACTATACTAGATCAAACCGGACTACTTTGAGTTGGATTGGACTAGACCGGATCATTAGGTTTTTGCATACCGCTAATAAAGGCAATATGAATTAAATTTTTATGTTCAAACCAAAAATTAAAGAGGTTTGTTTTCAGGCTTACTTTTATGTTATATGTCAGAATAGAACTGAAGTGGGCATTGAATTCTAAAATATCGTGGGGATCACAGAGTTAAAAACCAGAGCTAAATCATTGTCACGATTTTTAAATATCAATTTAATGACTTCTTCTTCCAGGCTTTAGCATGTTATCATCTCCTTCTATTATGTTGGTGCAATTTTTGAAGAACTCAAAGCATGGAGTAATATTTATCGTATTAATTTTTAATTATTTTCATAAAAAAAGTATTACATATTTACGAAATATTTTGACTCTATACTATTAAGATTAATTTAGAAGGGCGATGGATAAGGAACTTTATGAGCCAGTGAGAGGGGTCTGGGGTGAGCGTTCAAAGGGGAGTCAGTCGCGTCTTAGAGTCAAAATTAGGATTGTGTATATTTCCCTCAAAAGCAATAATAAGGAAATTAAAGGGCGCAATAATAGAATAGTAGATATGAGGAGCGCTTGATGAGAATATTTATATTTGGGATCCATCGGAAGCAAACATCGTACAGAAAGATTCAGTTGTTGGCATCACTGTCACTAAATAAAGGAACTTACTGGCTTTGGATATGGAGAAGCGATACAGCCCCCAAGAAAAAGCTCTCCAAGGCTGGGATGCGCAGGGAAAGAAGCCTTTTTAGATTAATATATAGAGGTGAGTGAGGATATTTTAAGCAGGTAATATCCATTAGCTGATTTATTATAATCTTTCCATTATCTCAATCAATGACATACAACATATGATTTGAATTTCATCCCACATTTAAATCTCTATCATATATTCACAATATTGAATAATTGAATCAAATGTTGATTTAATTAAAAAAATATAATTATAATTTGAATATACTAAATAAAACTTTATATACCTGATATTTAGATTATTCTGGTAATATAAATTAAATAACAAACTTCAATTTAAACATAGCAAATGAATTTCACTTTTTCAAATATTTCATAACTTCTTATTTGCTCATAAATCACTTTTAAAAAATAAAAAGTGCAAGAAACCTACAAATTTTAATTTCACTATTATACTTAAACTCTTTTTTAAAGTAAAAATTCTGAGTATTTCACGGTAATTCAAATCAAGTCCAATTTACATGGAATTTTAAATATAAGATCTGTGTTAGACAGCAAGATTTCTTAGCCAAAAAATATTCAGATTGATCATATCGAGAATACCAAAAAAGTTCTCAATATTAAGACCGGAAATAGTATTATTTAAGGAATAATGGGCCGTGGCCCATTACCTTCTTTAAGGGCTTTTTTTCTTGTTTTACTTTTCTTTTTTTTTCTGCCTCATTTACTTTTTAAACTTTTTATTTGATCATAAACATTTTAGTATCGTAAGTTCTTTTTCATGATTTCCTATAATTGATCAAGATTCTCTTAAAGATCCAATGATTGAATTCTACTTGGGTATTTTGTCCGCTACTTTGCTCATGATTCATCTTATGGCCCTACCCTAACTACTTTTATTCAGACGTCCAGAGTGGGCCAGGCCTGAGCCCAGGCCCACATCCATGCTCCGGCTTTACCAACCTCGCTAGGCCCAATTCCAAATACTTGATCACATAAATTTTCGCTCCCAAATTCTTCCTCCTGCAACAGGCAAATAGTAGTATGTGCTTGGTGGGACCCCGCATGCAATGCACGTGAGGTGTAGCACAATTCGATAACCTGCTACGCTAAAACCCTAGAAAGTGAAAAGTTTGACATTGTGGGGGCAAAACCAAAAAAGTCAACAGACAAAGTCAATCTGCCCAAAACAAACCCCACGTTCATCCCAAGTCGTGTACATTCTTCCCATGATTCAAGGCCACCTAACCTCAAATTTAATTAAATTCAAATGTCCCAAACACACACTTAAATCCAGGCATGATATTGTATTTGCATCCGCTTTCAAGTTTTCTTCCCAAATCTATGGCTTTTACGCTATGATCATATTTAGCCTCATATTTTATGAATTTAAGGACACGTCTCCATTATTATTGGTTGGCCTAGGGATTTGTGAAAAGACAATTTTTTTGACCCTACTAGTGTATGCCTTGTTCATTTGCATTCATAAACTCGTTCGTCGTTCTCCTTTGCTTTTCGTTTTCCTGAGTGAGACCCTGGGAGGCCTAATTAATTATTCGATTAAATAGCTTAAGATTGTTTTAGTTATACTCCTTAATATAATATATAACTATTAAGTTAAT